TCTCCGGTGAATCCCCACTGACCATAGTCTAGGAATGTGAATAGTCTTATTATGAGCCAAAGAACATTGGAAAGTGGATTTTATTTTTAAAATATTTTCTGCTTTCTTTTTGACTGAGGCTTTTCTCTGTCTTATTGGGTCATTGTTGCTGGGCCCTCCTTTGTTTTGTATGTTTTTCTGTGTAGGGAAATCAGGATGGGTGGGTCTACAAAGACGGCAACAGGATTCATAATTACCTGGAGGCATAGCCCAGGAGATAGGGGTGAGGAGGGTAAGGGAAGTCAACGGCAATGAGTACAAGAAGGAATAAATGTTCCAAAGTTGATTGAGGTGATAATTGTCCCAACCTTCTTAATAAGACTGAACTATTGAACTAAATAAGATGTTAATTCTATATCAATAAAACAACTTCTTAAAAAAGGGTTGGCAGTTCAAACCCATAAGCAATTCTACCAGAGAAAGCGGTGGAGGTGTGCTTCTATAAAGATCTGCAGTGTTGTTGTTGTTGTTAGGTATCATTGAGTGTCTGACTCCTAAGAGACCCCATCCTGTGCCATCCTTGGCAGCATTGCCCTGTGCTTGAGCTCATTGTTGCAGCCACTGCGACAATCCATCTTGTTAAGGGTCTTCCTCTTTTTCACTTTACCAAGCATGATGTCCTTCTCCAAGAACTAGTTTATCTTGATAAGATGTCTGAGTTAGTTAATTGTGCCAACCTGGCCGATAATCACATGTGGGGCTAATTGAAAGGCGGAGGGTTAAATGGGTGGTGAGCCTCGCCTTTCTAGTTCTTGGGTCTCTTGTTTTGTGATGATCGCACCAGGGTGCAGCTGCCTTAGCAGTTCCCTGCTTCAGCTTGCAAGATTGCCTTCCCACAAGACATCCCCAAGGAGAAGCCACATGGACCTACACCGATGCAGCCCTGGGTGCTGGAGCAGCCATGTGGAGACCCCTGCCAGTGCTGAGATGCTGGTTCGTTCACTGACTCAGCTTTCCTCCTGCAGTCGGCATCATTGCCTCTGTTTTGTGAGGTGGAGGACTTTGTGGACTGGTGGTGGGTTAATGGGTTAATGTTGGACTTGTGGGCTTGGGCAGCATTGAGTTGGGATGTTTTCGTGATGCACACTTTTTTTACATAAAACTCTCTTATATATGAGTTGCTATGGATTTGTTTCTCTAAAGTACCTAGACTAATACAATGTCCAAAGTATGCAAAGCCAGTAACCCATAAAATCAAAACTCCAAACTCATTGCCATGAGTCAGTGATGACTCAGGACCATCTTATGGGACAAGTGAGAACTGTGTCTGTAAGTTTTGGTGACTAACTCTTTATGGGAGTAGAAAGCCATCTTTCTCCCGGGGAGTGGCTGGGGTTTCAAGCTGCTGACCTTGCATTAGCAGCACACTGCATCACAAGGGCTCCTGGTTGGGCAGTTCTAGTTGATCCTGTATGGTCACTATGAGTCAGAATTAACTGGACGGCAATGAGTCTGGGTATACATTCAGATGTGGAAGCAACAACCACAGGCTATTAAATTGACCTTTAGCACTCCATCCACAAATTTATACTAGTACCCTTCTTCATTGTGAACCCTGCACAAACCCCATAACCTAAATGGAAGTACTTTTCCGTTGGTTCAGGTAAGTGAGTGACCTGGGAATCACCTTAAACAGGGCCATAAAGATGTGGCTGCTTCTCTCCCTGAACCTCTCTAGCCCCACAAGTTGGTGTATGCAGCCTTCCCTTCCACTGAGGGCAGGGAGGACTTGGCTCTGCCTCGACATCTTTCTCCTGATGGCGGCAGAGGCTGGAACAGAGCAGATGCGAGGTGCCAGGGTACAGAAAGAGAAGAGAGCTCCACGTCATTAAATAAAGCGTCATGTTTACTTTTAGTTTTGATGAAGAGGCAGCAGCTCAACCATCTAACAATACTGATTTGCCCAACTTGCATGTCAGTTAGCAAGGTTCTCAGAGTTGGCATCTAGGTAAGCTTTGGAACCCTGATGGCGTAGTGGGTCACATGATGGCCTGGAAGGCCAGTAATTGGAAGCCACTAGCTGGGAGAATGATAAGGCTTTCTGCTCCCTTCAAGAGTTACAGTCTTACATCACCTCAAAGAAGGGTCACAAGGAAGGGATGAGTCAGCCAGGGTGCAGTACAGTACGGATGCATCACACAACGTTCTTTTAGTTCTTTAATGCTCACCCTCCCCACCCCACTACCATGACCCCCGTTCTCTTACAAATCCGACTAGACCAGAGTATGTACACTGGTACAGATAAGAGCTCTTTGCCCACAGAATCCAGGACAGATAAACCCTGCAGGACCAATAATGAGAGTAGTGATACCATGAGGGTAAGGGGGAAGGTAGTAGATGAAAGGGGGAACCATGAATGAACAATAGAAACGTGGGTGAAGGGAGAGAGTGAGTGGATGGTGTGAAATATGAAAGTTAAAATAATTTATAAATTATCAAGGGTTCACAAGTGTGGAAGGGTGGGGAGGGAGGAGAAAAACAGTTGATATCAAGGGCTCAAGTAGAAAGAAAGTGTTTTGGAAATGATGATGGCAACATACGAACATATGTGCTTGATACAATTGATGTATGGATTGTTATAAGAGCTATAGGAGCCTCCAATAAAATGATTTATTTAAAAAAAAAGAGTTACAGTCTTGAAAACACACAGGGGCCGTTCCACCCTGACCTCTAGGGTCACTATGAGTCAGAATCGACTCTGCGGCAGTGAGTTTGGTTTGGGGTTTGAGTTAAGTTTTGAGACTTTCTTGACCCAGCAGTCACAGCACACTGCCCTCTAGGCAGGGCTACGAGGTTGCATGCCCTCAGGCTCGCTTGAGCCTGACTTTCACAACAGTGGCTTTCCTTACGGAGCCCAATCCAGGGAATCTGTTGTTGCCTTAGAGCCCTGATAAAAGCTCTAAAATTCTTGTCTGGTATCAACAAAAGGATGAGAAGAGTTTTCCAGAGTGCCAGCATTGACTGTGAGAATCTATCTGTATTTCTTTGGGCCATTTCTTCATTTCACAGTAGATCACATTCATCGGTATCGTACATCCAATTCAAAGTACAGCCAATACTTGTCAGTGCTGACCTGGTTTTCCACAAGAGTTTGCCTCAGATAAATCTCTCCAAGGGGTTCCACATTCCCTTCTAGCAACAAAATTTAATGCAAAAACAACAAAGTCAAACCCTGTGAGACCTCTTACTGTTATCCTGAGTGGATCTAAGCTTGGACCAGTGTGCACCACATGCTGACCCAGTTCTTACCGTTCTTCCTTCATAAGCATTGCCCACACTCATATAAGCACCTACATCTTCTAAACAAACCAGCCAACGGTCTAATGATGCACCTGACTTCTGCCCATGATTTTTACTTTGTCACACTTGGGGTAGGCACATTTGTGTCTAAATGTTGTCAGACAGGTGAAAGAATCTTCGCCCATTCAGATATAATTGTTGTGCCAATTTTATAAGTGAGGCCAGCCAAATTGTTATAATGGGACAAGCTGAAGTGAGCCATCAGCTTGGTTAGGAAGTCTCCCTACTTAGAAGAGAGTTGGCAATGACCACTACTCAAAGAGCTAGCTATTTCTGAACCTTTCCCCCCACCCGTGGCTTGCAAGCTTCTCAAATTCTCTTCAATGGCATGGAGGTCTATGTATATTGCCTGCTTGATCAACTATTTTGACCATCAATGTCAATTGATCAGACCATACGGCTCTCATTCTTCCTCTTCCATAAGACATATCTGTCAGTCTACCATTCTTGTCAATAACTGTGAGGGCATTTCCCCCTGCTTGTAACCCAACAAGTTAGCTTGCCATAGTTTGATGGATAGAAGACAAGAGTTCCCTGGGTCAGAGATGGATTAAGTTGATAGAGCAATTGATTATCAAGAGTATTGGCATTTTTGTAGCAGTTTCCCAAATGAAATTCCCATAAAGCAATGCAAAGAGGGCCCAAGAACAACTACATAAGTGTTTGGCTGCATTACAGAACTGGAATCTGTGCCTTACTCACAAATGGACAGAAAGGTAAGAGAACCCAGGAAAATTGTCCCTTAACAATATGGTAGGATTTATCCAATGACAGACACCAGTTACTCACTGGTGATTTCTGACTAGTAAAGTTAGAAGGGAGCCCTGGTGGTACAGTGGTTATACATTCGACTGCTAACAGCAAGTTCAGCAGTTCAAAACCATCAGCCACATCTGCAAGAGAAACACGGAGCTGTCTACTCCCATAAAGAGTTACAGCCTTGGAAACGCACCGGGGGCAGTTCTACCTTGTCCTACAGGGTCACAATGGGTTGGCATCAACTTGACGGCAGTGAGTTTGAGGAAATTTGAAAGTCAGAGGCACTGTCTGTCTGTCTTTCACTCTCTATCTCTTCCTCACTCATCCTTTCCTTCATTTTGGTTTGCTTCTGTTTTTTATTAATAAACACATCATTTTCAACTCTGTACTTTGAAAATGAACTATGAATTTTTAAGTCGTAATGATAATTTGTGTGTTTATAAACTCCTTGCACATGGAGCAGAGAGATATAAAAACAGGAACCCAAGTGGAAATGTGCAGGGGGCTATCAGATAAGTTCTGGAGCGCCAATGAGCTTTGGAAGTCATCAATATATACATGATAGCTGAGGCCAAGAAACAGGATATAAAGACACAAAGCCCCACCCTCCCTCATGAAAACACGAGAAAATAAAGGATGGGAACTCCTAGGAGTCTTAAGAGCCCTGGCTAATGTTCTGATTGGTAGCCTGATCTCTCCATCGCCCAACAGGTACTGCCACCCTGTGGAGCCACAGAACTACCTGAAGTTTTTGGCCTCAGACAGTTAATTTTCAAATCAGGTCGTTTCAAAGCAGATGGGAAAAATGGATATAACTGGTGAGGTTCTTATTACTGTCCAAAGATGGGTAGTAGAGTCTGAAAATGGTTGGGTGCTCATGTAAACAACTGAGATGTACTCACATCCATAGTAGACACCATTGGGAGATGATGGTGGTCTTTATCAGCACCGGGTGGGCTTTTTGTGCCTGTTGTATCACCATTTTGTTCCTAAAAACAAAACAGAACAAAACAAAATCTCTTACTGTTCTGGAGAGTGGAAGACAAAATCAGCCTCCTTCTGCTCAGAGGAGTGGAGCCCTGGTGGTGCAGTGGTTATGCGTTGGGCTGTGATCGCAACCACCAGCAGCTCTGTGGGACAAAGGCTGGGCTTTCTCCTCCTGTAAACAGTTACAGCCTTGGAAACCCACAAGGGAGTCATGAGTCAGCATTGACTCAGGGGCAGTAAGTTTTTGGAGTGCTCAGATGAAGGTGTAACTAGGCTCGTTTCCTCTGGAGGCTATGTGGAAGGATTTGCTTGCTGATTCTTCCAGCCTCTGGCAGTGACTGGCACGCACTGACTGTTTTTTGGTAGTATGTCTTCAAATTGCTCTGTCTTCAAATCTTACCATGTCATCACGGTGCCTTCAAGTCTGTGTCAAGTGTCCCTCTGCCACTCTGTCTTATCAGGACAGTTAGATGGCTTTTAGGGCCCATGTGGATTATCCAGAATAACCTTCTCCCTGTCTCCCACTACATCAAGATCCTTAATTTAATCATAACTGTAAAATCTTGGCCATATAAAGCAACATTTCCTATTTCCAGAGACTAGGAGCTAAAATATTTGGGGACCATTATTACCCCAAGGCACATTAGTCTGTGTACGATAGGAGATTAAAACACACACACACACACACACACACACACACACACACACACACGTGAAATGCAGCTGGGCTAAACACCCCCATTTCAAGCTGCTTTACACTGCCCTGTACAAAGTCTGGCTACCCTCCTATAAAGGCCCCGTGGGAAGGGCGAGGCCCTGAAACTACACCATGTGATGGTGCCAGCTCCCCCAAGGTCTTGGTTGAGACCACCAAGGCATCAGACATGTGCGTGGATCACCCTAGAGATGAGCCAGCCCAGTGCAGCCCCAGACCATTGATTAGAGCTCCAAGTGATGGTCAATGAAGCAGCATGGCCCAGCTAAGTGCAGTCAACCTACTATATTTTGAGAGACAAAGAAAATGTTCTCAGAGACTAAGTTTTGTGTAGGGTGGTTGCACTTAAACCAGAAATTGGTACCTAGAGGTAGACTGATTCCCTAGCAAGAATCGGAAACATTCCTCGGAGGGCTGGATGACGGGCATCAGCTATGAGGGCATCAAGGACACTGTTAGTCAATGTTGAAAGGACAGGAAGATCATTTTTACTGGAGGTTGGAGAAATGGAAACCAAAATGACAGAGTGACAAAAAGTTTGGCAACACTATTGCTTTTGTTAACATGGAAAATAGAAAGTATATCCAATGAACTTGAGGGTTTGGCTAAGGACATTTGCATGCTTCATGATGAAAGTACCAGATCGGGCTGTGTGTTCTACAAGACGAATACAGAGATGGACTAAACATGCAAGTGCTCGATTCTTCAGCAGAATCCAGTGGAAATGTTTCTGAAATATAACTTTTTCCTTCTCATCTCTGCCAATTAACAATTCTAAAGAAAGGAATGACATCAGGACAATAATAAAACCTAGGAGAAAAAAATCCACTTTCAGTATCAACCACAAGTGTGTGGGTAGACAATCTGCTGTCAAAGCATTATCAGTGGTTTCAGCTGGTGCCTAATAGACCCACTTCTGAAGCTCCGAGGGTGGCCTCTTCGACTCTCTTTGCTAGACAAGAGAACTTCGAAGATTCTCCAGGATATTATCCTGCAGCACCCTGACCAGCATTCAGGTTAATGAATATTGAAGTCTGTCTTGAAGATATTTAAGTGTAACATTGAGAGAACATAATTGAATACGTGGGAACCACCCCCACCCCCCATCATTAAGAGAATCATAACATCTTACACTGAAAGACACGGGTACAGTTTAAGATGAAAGTGCCTATTCTAGTTTTCCTCAAAATTTTTTCGAAGGGGCAGATAACTTGTCTATGTAACTCACAAGTTTTAAGACGCAGCATAGCCACCTTAGAAGAGCCTCATCAAGCCAGACTGATTTAGATGATGAAATCTTGGCCTGCACGCTTGAGTCTAATGATGTAATAGCATGACACTTTGGGATCTTGGAAAAGGGGGGAGTATTTTTCATGTGAGAAGGACAAGAATTGCTTGGGGCTAGAGGTCAGTAATCTCCAAATACAGCCTCTTAAGAGGAGGCCTAAGAGCACTTCCAAAGGTTCCTATTTTTCATCTGTCTCTCTTCCCTTGATGAATCAGGGGACCTGATTTAACTAACAGAATGCTGTGGAAGAGACGTCAAACTTAACTCTTCAGAGAGCCTGAAACTGCCACTTCCATAAGTTTAACAGCTCTGTGCGTCCACATAAGACCTTCAGCTGGCCTGCCAGAGCAATCAGAGAGAGATCCTGTGCAGCTCCATGGGGAATGAAAGAATTCCTAAGACTACACGAAGGGAGAGAAAGAGAAACACAACAGTCTAGCAGTCCAGGCAGCCCTACAGCTGTTTCCATCCAGTCAGCAGACACGGACGTGAGCCAGGTTGAATATTCCAGATCAGTGGGTCTCAGAGGTGACTACAGTCACAATTCATTTTAAACTGAGATTTGGGGTGTGTGTGTTATATACGTAATAAATAACTCACTTAACCACCCCCACACTCACTGCCCTCGAGTTTGTGCTGACTCATGTGACCCCGCTGTAGGTTTCCCAGACTGTAACTGTGTACGGGAGTAGAAAGCCCAGTCTTCCTCCTGTGGAGTTGTTGGTAGTTTGAAACTGCCGACCATGTGGATCTCAGCCCAATGCATAACCACGCCACCACCACATGAAAAGCAATTAGTTTAGATGTTGTAATAAATGTAACATAGAAATCAAAAGACAAACTCCAAACTATGGAAAAATGCATGCCACGCTCATACAAGTGGTGACACAGTGATTAAGCATCGGGCTGCTAACCGAAAGGACAGTGGTTCAAACCCACCAGCAGTGCCAACAGCAAACGATGAGGCTGCCTGCTCCTGTAAAGACTTAAGAGTCTCAGAAACTCTATAGACAGTCATTTTGAGTTGGAATTGACTCAACAGTAGTTGGTGTTGGGGTTGAAATCTCCTTAAAATAAAAAGAGCTCACTATAAACACAACCAAAGTCTCAAAAGAAAGAAAAAAGAAAAAGGAAAGCCAGATAGGGAAAGGACATGATTTGCTTACTCAGAGTTGAGGTCATCAGAATGGCATGAGGGAGTTTAAACAGTATCCCAAACAAAACCAACATTGCTGGTGAGAGGGGAACGGGATACCACCTTTCTGGACAGCCTGTCAGGTCTGTGAATATGTGTCATCATCACACATCCAACTAAATAGCTAAGTAAAAAGATGTTAATTTTAAAAATGTCCAATAATAGGGAAACTACTTTTTAAAAAACTGGACTATCCATATATTTACATAGCCCTATCTTGAAATTTTAAAGTTTGGGTAACATGCTTATCATATAGTGCATATTTTACAAAGCAAATGTAAACTTATTTACAGTTTCAACTAAGTTTTCAAGAAAAAATAAGACACATGTATAACAAAGGCCGAAGGTAAATAAAAAATGTGAACTCTGGTAGAAGAATTGGAGCACCTTCTAATTTTCATTTTTCTTCTTCTCCCCATTGTTAAATGTTTCCTAGTATGTACTCGTGTAGCAATTTAACACTCAATAAGTGACACTCTGTAAGCTGGCCAAGCGATGTCCTATGTAATTCAGAATAATTTTCCATTAGGCATGTTTATGCATTTTTTTAAATTATATATGTTTTTCTTATGTGAAGAGGATTTAAAAACGCCCTAGTCTAATTGACCATTCACAAGGCGAGGAAACCGATCTAGCATTTAGATGCCCAAATTTGTCAAAGCAGTTAGAGTCGGAGCCTTACTTACGACTCCAATTCTTTGCCCTTTGACCTGTATACCTTCCACACTGCCTAGCATCATGATCCAGGTAATATTGCAAAATATACGTGAAATAGCTGGCATTCTGAAGAAGACTTTATTCTGGTGTACCTTTAAGTTGACATGCAGAGAATTCTCATTTTTAATTAGAAAATTATATGTGACAGGAAGAACATATGCTGTTTCCTATAACAATTTTTGCTGAATGTTTCCACTGAAATAATTTCCTAGGCTTTAAATGTTCCTTTGCATTTAGATTGTGTTATAGTTGTTACACTTTCACCTGAATTTTGTACAAACCCGTGAGACTTAATCAGTGGAAAAAACAACCAAGAGACAGAGAAACTCAGTGCCATCAAGTGATTCCATCTCATAGCGAGCCTGTAGAAGAAGGTGCAAATATGGGTTTCCAAAGCCATAAATCTTCACAAGAGTAGAAAGTCTTGTCTTTCTCCCATGGAGCGGCTGGTGGTTTTGAATTGCTGACCTGGCAGTAGCAGCCCAACCCATAGCCACTAGATCACCAGGATCCGTACAGAAAGGGTAGGAAATATTGAATATATTTAAACACACTTCCACTTGGTGACATTTGAACACATTCTTTGTTTATTTACATTTACATTGTATTTATTTTTAAAATAGATTACTTTGGGTTTCCCCAGACTTATAACCCTAATGTGAGGGCAGAAGCCTGCTGTTTAACGTCGTCTTTGGGGTCTGGGCTTTGAGAGCTGCCATTCGAATCTGAATCTGGGGAAACGGAGTTTGTTTTCTTCCACCCAACTAAGCCTAACATGTTGCATTTCCAGCTAATTTCTGTTGAAGATGCATCTACATCCCTCCTTATTCTACCTGGATTTCGAAAAACAGTTTTAAACATTACCTCCGGTGGAGATGTGTCTATTTTAACAGAGCGTGGATATCTAGGGTTACTTTTTAGTTCTGGTGGAGAAAGCGGTTGTTCGTCGGGAGGTGTTGTCTTCTTCTCTTCAACTGTCGGAAGAGCGGAAAACGGAAGGTCCGGGGGAAGCAGATAGGTTTGTTTTTCTGATTCAGCATGCATCGGAAGAAGGTAGTCTGGCTCATTTAGCAATGGCAGGTTAAAAGTTGGCACGGTCAAGAATCTCGAAGTCATCTTCTCACTCTCCGGTGGCTAGAAAATATTTCAACAACAACAAAATGTTACCAATTAATCACTATTGACTAGGAAATACATGAATAATACTGGGCTTAAAATCAACTGCCCCCTTTGATTGTTAGCACATGAACTTAATGTTTACAAATGACTATATTCTTTTCAATTTATGAGTTTGGAAGAGTTATTTATACTCCTGAGTTCATCTATTGCCTGCTTGCCTGAGATCATGGACCATTAGACATTATCCATAAAGATGATCATGATTTTCAAAAGAGCACTGGTTCTCAAAAGTCCAGACTTAATGTCAGTGATATCTCAAAAAGAAAATCTGAAGAGTCTAACACCTTACTGTCTTTTTACCATGAACAATGTGTTATACAATAAAGGGACATTTAATAATAAAACAGCATAACGCGATCATAATCACAACTGTAACATACAAGAAAGTTTAAGAGCAAACAGCTCAAAATGGTATCATGTGTTAAATAAGTTTTGCTTTATAAAAAAATTCTCTATACTTTCTCTAATGATGTTTATGAATATCATTACTGTGTAAAAACATCTTACAATGTGTTGAATTAAAAGCTTCTGGTGAAAAAGAATAAAATAGGTGGGTTAATCTGTGGCTTCCATTTCTAAGATCTTATAGAGAATTTCATACATTTTCCAGGAGTATGTAGCTGGCACCCTATAGTGTAGCTCTGCAGATTTACAAAAGCAAAAATTAACTCATAAACCTTGCCCCTGCTCTGCTAGCCCCAGGCCATTGGTGCGATAGCTGAACACACTAGCCTCCCTGCCCCCTCCCAATCCCCTATGCTTTGTTGAAGATAAAAAGATTTAACAACGGAGGAGGAGGAGGAGAAAAGTGTCCCATGCAGACACTGTCGAGGCCTGGTGCCTGACACGTCTCGGAATCATCAGGACCCTGGAGAGCCGGGTGTTTCAGCTCCTGCTCCCACGGCCTCCTGTCTGCACACACCTCCCCTGGAGAAGTGGCCACTGGCTGGGTTTAGTTCATTCAGACATTTTCTTTTTCTTCCAGAGTTCAGGGTTCCAGGTGCTTCTTCTGTGCAGCTTTTCTCACAGAAGGTGTCTAGCCTGCCTGTGTCTGGGCCACCACGTTAAAGCGCAGGCCATTAGACTCCTTTTTAAGGGAGTGGCTTTTAGGGAAGTTTCCTTACCTTCCTTGGAGGGGGTGGAACTTCTTCATATACACGAGGGGGGGCTGTTCAAAAGAAAAATCAATGACTTTACATACAATATAAACATTCCTTTTTGATACACATACACCAGGTGCTCCTCAGGAGAAAGACCAGACTCTCTACTTCAGGAAAGATATGCAGACTCAGAAACTCGCCTGGGCAGTCCTACTTTTCTCCTATAGGGTTGCTATGAGCCAGAACACAATGGATGGCAGTGAGTTATTTTTTAAACACTGGCAGAATACTATTATAAATAGCTCTTTAAATCTAAAACTGAAACTATTTAGCAAAAATGGGAAGACTGGGGGAGTTGTAAATGATCAAGGAAGAAGATAGGATAAAATATGCAAAAAAAGTGATCATATTTCAGATCCATCCACCAAAGATATGAAAATAAATTTAGATGACCTTTTGCTACAAGTCAAGAGAAAGGAAAATGCATTCCAGCGGGTCAATGGGAGGTTCGAGATTAGGAAGAGAAGACAAGGATAAAGGTCTACGAATCATGAAACAAGGCCAATTCAAAGGAGCCCTGTGGGAAGCTCCATTCTTAAGTTCTTCATCACTGGCTTTAGTGGCTGGTGCTTACATTTGAATAGTAGTTTTATTAATAATAGTTTTATTGTCCTTGCTCTGAGTTGGAAATAACTCCACAGGAAAATGTTTTTGGTCCCTTCTCCGTAAAACATGACAGGTTCTCTAGAGAAACAAAACCAGAACACTAATAATTTTATATATATTTATACAGATAGATATATAAATAAGAAATAAACAGTTAATTAAATTATGAAGCAGTACAAATGGCTCAGTGCAACTCACTCCCGTGAGACAGTTGTGAGACACTGGCAGGCCTTCAAGTCTTGAGGGCCACCGGGTAGTCCTCTGTAGAGCAATTCAGGCTATCCAGGCACAGGCAGCAAACAGCAAGGCAGGTCACCAACAGTCAGCCAGATGACAGGGTCTGACAGTCCCCAGCTCAAGAGATATATATTCCATTGGTGTGGCGAAGCA